GACTCCTTTAGGGCACTGCCCATGCTTTCCCTTCTGCCCAGGCCCCAAGGGAGGCCCACTTAGCCCCTGGTCCCCTTTCTTCATGAGAATGAAAATGAAAGTTGGAACTCGGGGCCCTGCTGTGTTTCTGACGGGCTCAGCCTCTTGTCTTTGTATCCTCTGCTCCCTGCCCGGCTGACTTATGCCAGGGGGAAGCGGGGTGCATTCCAGCTCATGAAGAAAAACAGAGTGCTTCTGTACCCTGTCCCGGGCTGGAGTCACATTTCTACCCTGTGTCCCTGAGTGCAGCAGACCCAGGGCCTGTGTGCAGCTCCTGCAGTCTCTCCACCAGTCTCTGACTGGGTTTCCTGAGGCTGGGATCTGGGGAGGATGAGCTCTGTCACTGGCTGCTGCTTGTAAGAAGGATTCCTCTGAAATCCCAGGGTCTCCAGCTCCCACATCTACTAACTCCTCCTGGTTGGATTTTCTGGCTCCTGCAGCCAAATACTCACTCCACCCTGTTCTGGTTGGTGGCTTCTAATCACCTCGCAGCCAAAGGGGTGGTGGTAGTGGCTTTCTCTACCATTCTCCCAAATAACCGTAGAGAATTGCAGAACATTCAGCTAGAATGGTGTCTCAGAGAACACCCATCCCCAGCTATTTTATAGATGAGGAAATGGGGGGCCCAGAGAGGGCCGCTGACTTGCTCAGGCTTGCCCAGCAATGGCTGACAGCACTGGTACTCAATCAGGCCTCCAGCGGTTCGTTCAGCTACATTAGACCAGATGGCCACGTCCTTCTTTTCTGTTTCCTTCTCTTTCTGACTCTTTCTCTTCCTTTCTTTTTATATTAAAATATTTCCTTTTCCCTTTGAAATGCCCTCTCTGTGTTAAGCAAGACAGCTTGCATGTGGGGGCACCAAGGTGGCATTCGGAGCCAAGACCTCTGTCCTGGCAAAGTTTCCCATAGTCCTTTCAAAAGGCTTTTCTCCCTCCTGGCCCCCTCATCCCCCAAGACACTCAGGGACCCCGTCTCCCTTCTCCCTGAACCAGGATCTTTGGCTCCTATTTCTCAGATAGGAACCCTGAAGGAACCAGATCCTCTTCCCAGTCTCAGTTTCCTGTCCCTAAAATGGACATGTGTGTGTGTGTGTGTGTGTCAGAAGGGGAAATATGGGTATTTGCGTGTGTGTGTGCATGCATGTGGTGTGCGTGCACATGCACGCACCTCATGTGTCTCCCAGCAGCTCCTGGGGGTAAATGTGAAAGATAATTAGCACCGGGATGAAAGGTGCTGTGGGATAATTACAGGTAATATATCAGGACTGCTGGGAGGGTTGGGCAGGAGGCCCCTAGACCTCTGGGGGGTGGGCAGCCTCTAGCCCCCTCCTGCACTGAGGCAGACACCTGGAGAGGCGACAGGGTGGGGGAGGGAGCGTTCTGAGTGAAGGGTCTTTGTCTTTACAGGGGAATGCTTGTTAGTTGCTAAGGAACTGAGTTATCTTTCCTGATCCAAGCCGCCCAGTGTTTTGCTGAGCTTGGGAGGGGGATGCGGGGCTGGGGCTTGGTCTTTTGATGGGTCTCTTGGGAAGGACTCTCATCTGGAGAAAGTGACTCTTTCCCATTACTGAGCTGGGGAGTAGAGCAGGTGAGGTGGAGGCAGGAAAGGAGAGGAAAACTTGCATTTACTGAGCAGTCTGCGTGCCAGTCATTGTGCCTGGCTGCCACCTGTGCTATCTCATTTAACCATTGTGACAGATCTTTAAGGAAGGCACTTATTTTTGTTTTTTAAAAATTTACTATTTTTGTAGTTGAAACCCAGATCCAGAAAAGGTATGTTGCCTGAGGTTACTAGGAGTTCTCTGGTAGGAATTCTATGTGAATTTAGGTATACTAGGTAAGAAAAGTTGTGTTTTTTAAACTATACCACCTAATGCATTTACCAGGCTTTCTTCCTATGCCAAGGCTGCTCTGCCCTGATACCTGGACCCACCATCATCATCGTCATCACCACCACTACCACCATCAGGAAGTCTTCCTATATGGCTCCCCCTCCTTTCCCACCCCTCTGCCTTCCCTAAGAGCAGTTATCACACAGGAGGGAGGGGGGTGGTTCAGTGGGTGAACCGTTGGGGTAGTTACCTTGGGCAGGTGGGGTGGGGGGATGGTAATGATCTTGAGCTCAGCCAAGCCATTGCTGTGAGTGTCCAGGAGCTGGCCTTCTCCAATAGTCACACTTGGTTGAGAATAGCTGAAGCTGGGGGATGGGAAGATGCTTGGGGGAGAAAACCCTTTAAATTCTTCTGGAACTTCTAGCCTTCCCTCTTGGCCCATTTGGCTTCTGAATGAATGAAAGGTCTACCTTTATTTTATGTAGCCCAGAGAGTAAAGTTAGAGTACTCTTGGCCTCTGAGCACTGAGGGAGAAGGCTTGAGCTAGCCCCAGATTTCATCATTACTAGTTACAGAACAGGGAGTAGGTTCCTTAGCGTATCAGAATGTCAGTTTCCTCATCTGTAAAAGGAGAGTAACAACACCTATATTATGAGGTCATTGTGACAACTGAATGAGAGAATGTGTGCAAAGGCCCATGGGCTGTGAAGCTGTGCAGGGATTCATCAAATGAGGCGCTGCAAGTTAGGCATTTGGCACAGTTCCTGGTATGCAGAAGGTGCTCAACAAATGGCATCTGATGATGTTGATGATAAAAGTATCAGCTCTCCTCATCCCTGTAGAAGGGTCGCTAATGCTCCCTGATTATTTTTCTTAGTTGCCTCATTAGAGATCTCCGAGCAATCTACGCGTTTGTTTTGTTTCTGCCTGGAGGAGGCAGTGAAAAGGGACAAGGGCCCCAAAGTGTTGTGCAGGTGGAGAGAGAGCTGAGGCAGAGAGGTGGGTTTCCCCGAGGTCTCTTGGCCTCCAGGTTTTCTCTCCCTGCCACTGGGATCTCCTTTCCTGTGGCTTCCAGGGCCTGTCTGGCTAGGCTGTCTTTAGTTTAGAGGTTGGGCCAGCTTTGTTCTTTTACAGGGGGTCTCTCCTATAGCTGAACTAAAAACCCAAAAACACCAGGGGAAAAGAAAGGAGGGGGGGAGGAAGGAAAGCAAGCCGATAATTTCCTCGAAGGATAAACATCCGTTTTTTTCCCTCACCCAAAATAAACACACTAGCCACAAGGAATTAAAAGCAGAAGAGGGGAGGATGTGTCTCGATCTGGGGCTGCTCTAGGAAGCTGACCTGCTATTTATCCCAGCCTTGGGCCCCAACCGGAGCTGCCAATTACACTCTGGGCCTGTGGGGTGGGGGCTGCGGGGAGTGTGAGGTTTGCACACACCCAGAAAGTTCCTTCTGAGGCTGCCTTCCATGACACTGCAAATGGACACTTCCTTTTGCTTCTTTTAGCTCTGCTGGCAAGCTTGTCTGGTGGGTAGAAGGGAGTAGGGAATTTCTACTGCCTGGGCTGGCATCAAAGGACCTTCTCCAGAACAAGAGCTTGATGTCCATCACCTGGGCAGGGAACAGAATTTATCAACAAAGGGGGAAGCATAGTCCAATTCCCTCCCTATCCACACACACAGTCTCCCAGCCCATTGCGTTCTTCAGATCCCACCATGAAAATCTTCCAGTTACTTAGGAGTGTGCTCAGCTGGCTGAGGGGTTGGCCAGGGTCCCTCTGCCTTCCAGCTAATGTGGGTCCTGGCTCTAAGGGTAATAACCGCGGTGCCCGGCTGCAGCCTGCCCCTTTCATCTGGGGAGCTCAAGGCACTATGCACACATAGTGAGACATGAGTCACCAGCATTGCTGTATTCTAGTGAAGGAGAGGGGTGGACGTTAACTCTTGGAGGGAAACTGAGCAGAGATTGGGGGGCTGAGAGGACTGGAATTGGGGGGGGGAGTTGATGTAGCAGGGTTTAGGATATGAATGAGACTGTAGCTAAGAGGTGCCTCCAAGGGGTCCTTGGTGGGAAAGCCAAGAGATATACAGAGGATATCCAGGGGAGGCAGTCACAGAAAATCCTCTCTTTGCAGAAACCAAAGAGTTTCTTCATAGCTTTCTAAAAGCATAAATCAGATTATGCCCCCTCTCCCCCTCCAATCTATCATTTAATGATTTCCCATTGCTTTCAGGGTGTAACCCAAAACTTTACCATGGTTGTAAGGCCTGGAATGTTCTGGTCTTTGCTCAGCTGCCCAGGTGTCCATACTACTGGCCTTTCATTTCCTGGACGATGCCACGCATGTCCCTGCTAACCATGGGAGCTCAGAGATATTCCCTCTCTTTGGCATGCAATTCACCCCTGTGCCCACTCATAGTTAATCTCTACCCTGCTTTTCAGCTCTGAAGCTAAACATCTCTTCCTCTGAGAGGCCTTGCCTGATCACTGCCTCCATCATAAAGTAAGTCCCCTTTGCACCCTCAGAGCGCTTGTCACATTTGTTATAATTTGCTTGTGGTCACCTGATGAAACTTCCCTCCCCTATTGGATGGTAAGCTCCATGAAGCAAGCCTCCTGTTCTGTCTGCCCTGTTCACTCGTGGATCCCTAGCACCTAGCAGAAGGTGAGGCACATAGTAGGTGCCGACAATAGTTGTTGAATGAATGACTGGTGTTGAATATCGGAGCTGGAAAAGACCATGGTGATAAACCAGCTGCCCCTACCTCTTCGTCCTACCTCAATTTTACAGCTGAGGAAGCAGAACTCTAGAGAGGGTGAGTGATTTGCTCCAGGTCACACAGTGCGCCTCAGTGACGGTTCAGGGCTGGGGATCTCCACCTCCTGCCTATCTACCTATCCCCGCCATGTACTTCTCCGCACTTGCATTTACAGGCCCCAGTGCTGGACACTGATTTCCTGTCCTTGGTGTTTGAGGACAGGCTAGGAAACAAAACATTCAACCAGTGAGCCCTGGGTGATTCTTTAATTCAGAAGAAAAGGTGTTCCATACCCGGAGGGAGTTCCATACCCAGACTATAGGTGGTGTGGACACACACCTGCAGCGTGAAGCCTGAGGTCTGGGAGGCAGTTATGTCTGTTTGCATATCTCGTGCGTAGTCCTGTTTGCTCCGGGAACCTGGGGACCTGGCGAGTCCATGTGATTTTGGGTCATGAACTGAGTCCTTGCTTCACTTTGATTTAGTTTGTAGCGACTCAGAAATCCTTCCAGTTGCCAAGCGCCTGGAAGGACAAACAGACCACAGAGAGGCAATGAGAGAGAACCATGGACTTGAGAGCTGCCAAGGCTAAGAGGGAGGCCAGCTCTGGGGGAGTGGAGACAGCAGGTGTTGGCCTTGGACACTGGGCTGAGTACCTGGGGGTACTTCTGACTCCTAGCTGCAGAAATGCCCCTGGATATTAGCAGAGCACCTAGGAAGGGGCTGGGCCTGAGAAAACAATGTGGACACGAGTCTGGGCTGAGTTAAGAGCAGCCTTTGGTCTGTCCCCGGTGCCCTTTGTTTAGCATAACTCTGCCTCCTCACTCACATGCAGAAAGGAAATGCCCAATCAGGTGGTCTGCACACTTCCTCCACCCACCCCTCTTTTCCTGCAGGCTCTCTTAGCCCCATGACTGAAGACTGAATGCTTTTTTCTTTGCACCTTGTTACCCCAGCTGCTGGGGCTGAGATTGGCAGAAGTGTGTGTGCTATTCACTTAATCACCTCCCAGGAACCCCAACCACCGCCTCAGGGACCGTGTGCAACAGGGTTCCTTTCCTGGCTGTGGCAGAGGTCAATGGCAGGCAATATGGCCAGAGCCCCTTCTCCCTGCTCCTGAACACCTGGACCCTGGAGGGGAGCTGAGAGTAGGTGAGATATCGCCAGGCTGGGGCCTAGAAAAGGCCAGTCGGTGCCCAGGTTAGAGGGGCCTCCTCAAGGGGAGAAAACACAGGGGTATCGAGGGAGGTGTACCTTCTGGGGCAAGTGTGAACAGGCCTAGCAGCAGGGCAGGGAGGACACAGCCCTGGGCACTGGGGAGAGGCAGAGGGAAGTGGTCAGAGGCATATTCCCACGCTCTTGTTTCCCAAACCTTGGGCCTCAGGCACCCTTGGCAGATGGTGCCAGAGAAAATACAGGACACCCAGTTCAACTGGCATGTCAGATAAGCAACAAATAATTTGTTAGTGTATGTTTCACATATTGCATGGAACATACTTATAATAAAAAATTATTCCTTTATTTACCTAAAATTTGAATTGAACTGGGCATCTTGTAATTTTTTTTCCCCTCTCTCTTTTTTAAATCCTCACCTGAGGATATTTTTCCCATTGCTTTTCAGAGAGATTAGAAGGGAGAGAGAGACACAGAGAGAGAGAAACATCCATGTGAGAGAGAAACATTGGTGGGTTACCTCCCGCTTGCACCCCAACTGGGCCTGGGATGAGCCTGCAACCGAGGTACCCGCCCTTGGACGGAATCGAACCTGGGACCCTTCGGTCTGTGGGCCGACACTCTAACCACTGAGCCAAACTGGCTAGGGCTCTCTCTCCCTTTTAATCCTCACTTGAGGATATGTTTTTATTGATTTTAGAGAGAGAGAGGAAGTGAGAGAGAGAAAAACCTCAATCGGTTGCCTCCTGTATTTGTCCCAATTAGGGATCGAGCCCTGAAACCTAGGTATGTGTCCTGATCGGGAATCAAACCCGCAGCTTTTTGGTGTACAGGACGACTTTCCAACGGAGCCACCTGGCCAGGGCTTTCTTTTCTCTCTCTCTTTTTTTTTGTTTGTTAAATCTAGCGACCTTCCCTGGGTGGAGGGAGTGCTTGGGGAAGACCTTGTCCAGAGCAGGCTAGGCAGTGGAGGGTATGGCCTGGGCCAACAGAGAACAGTAATGCACAGAGAGCACAGTGCGAGCAGCTGGCATCCTGGAAATCCACAACCTGGGTATGTGCCCTGACTGGGAATTGAATCGGCGACCTTTCAGTGCACGGGACAACAACCTACTGAGCCACACGACCAGGGCTGATATAGAGCTTTCTATGTGCCAGGCATGGTTCTAGGAACCCCATGCATATTCAGTCAATTAATCCTCACAAAGGGAGACTATTTTTATACCCAGTGCACACATGGAGTTCTGGTGAGGTTGCTTCTTAGTGGTGATGGGGAAAAGGGTCTCTTCAGGTTCCCTCAAATTTTATCAGGCTCAGTGGCTGTGCACTCAGATTGGGCTGGAAAGCAGGAGTTTCAGGAGTTCTCTTGGGGCAAGGGTGGCTGGGCACTTGTGAGAGTCTCTCCTTCAGACAGGCTGGTGCCGGGCTGAGAGGTGTGTGACTGATGCTGTAGATCTTCCACTAGGAGGCCTGGCCATGGTCTTTACATTCAGGAAGCCTGGCTGGCTAAAAAGATACTGTGGTTCATGACCCTGGAAAAGTATGTGCACATACGTGCACATGTGTGTGCATGTTCACGCCAGGGGAAGGGCTCTGGGTGAACTGGTGTGTAGCAGGCATGGGGACAAGGGGGCCTTCCCCCACTAAGCAGGGCAGGAAGGAACCCGGGTGTCAGGGAGGGAATTGAAACTCATCACAAGATCAGGGCAATGACAGGAAGAAATCCCCTGTGTCCTGAGGGAGACCTCACTTCCCTCCCCAGCAGTGTGCCCTCCCCTAGCTCAGATGATTTCTCTTGATGGAGCTTGGAGGGCCTTGGCAGCCTCACAGCTCCTTCCTTGTCCCATTTCAGACAACCCTGTGGCTCTTGGGCTTCTTGGGCAGCTCCTCAGACCAGCCCCTCTGTCCCTCAGGAGGTAGCCACTAGCCTCCCGCTGCCTCCTCCTCTGGCTTGGCTGTGACTCCTTACACCCCCCGTTTCCTGCCACAAAGGGCAAGAGGAACTGACCCTTTGCAAGTTCTAGAAGGAATGGGGGTGAGTCAGGCCCTCAGGAGTGTGTGGGGAGAGATGGGGAGCTTGGAGGCTGTGGTTTCCGTGGTCACCGTGTGGAGGAAAGCCCCATCCTGTGTGGCACTGCTGGTCCCAAGCTGCAGGGAGGCCACTGCCCTTGCAGGAAGAGTTTGTGCTGCTGTCTGAGGTCTGGCCACTCCCCTTGTACCCTGGACCCACCCAGGCTGGGCTCTTCCTGGGACAGGGCACGGGTGGTAAGTGTACTTCAAAGGCCTTCAGCTGGAGGGAGAAAGAAGCAGGGTGTCTGATGCCTGTCTCCTGAGCCACCCAGGACTGGAACATAGAGGTCTGGTCTCCTTGGGGCCAGGCTGCCACCTATGATGAGCAGGTGGGTCCCTACGCAACCCTAGGGAGCATAATTTCCATCTTGCAAAATCAGACTCAGGCATCCTCTCACCTAGTGGTTGAGGAAGGTGTTAGCAATGAGAGATTTTAGATGTTAGAGATGTTTCGGGAGTGGGCCAAGAGGAGAGTTAGGGAACTTTATCTAAAGCCATCAGTTCTGAGGCACCCCTGTGAGCCCGATCTCTGCCAGACCTTGAGGGGTGGAGAAGTGAATGACCCTTATCTTCAACAGCTGGGAGAGGGGCTCCCAGCTTTCAGAGACTCATCTCCTGAGTTGGAGTTCCAGGGATTGCCAAGGCTGGAATGTTTGGGAATGGCCCCAGGGCAGGTATTGAGAGTCACTGTCTCTACCCCCCAGGTTCCCAGATTTGCCTGCTTACCATGGTTTGGGAGTAGTTCGTCACAGTCATGTGGGCCTATTAGGGTTATCCAGGCACCAGGAGACAAAAAGTTATGCTACACCTAGTCTAGCAGTCCCCGCCCTTGTAGGACTCAGCTGAATGGGGTAGACAGCTCCTCTGCTAGAATGTGGAAACTTAAAGCTGAAGGGAATCTCAGACCCTGGGGTCTAGGCGCTCCATCACTGAAGCCACCTGCTGGGGTCTGCCAGGCACGGAGGGGAGCTAAATAACCCAGGCCCATTCTGGCCCTCGATGAATTGATAAGACAATTAGCACTGGACTAATAAGCTAGGCCTTCGAAGGGTGGCCTTGGCCAGCAGCTCAATGTGCCCTCCCATCCCAGCAGATGAGGTCCCACCCCTAGCAGTACCCCCAGAGTCTCTCCAGCAGGCCCACTCTTAAGACTTCCCCATTTGTAATATTTTAAACAAACAAACAAAAAGACTTCCCAACAACATAGGAAAGTGTTCCCTGAGTGTCCTTCTCTAGCCAAGGGACATTCCCCACCTGACCTGTCATTTGGTCCTTAGTAGGCCCTAAAGTGTCCCCCTCTCAGCCTGGGAAGAGGGGGTTGGGAAGCCCTCACTGGGAGGCAGGCTCCCATTCAGGTGGGCTGTAGAACAAGGGGCAGGGTACCAAGCCTTGGGTACCAAGCAGGGGTGACCTCCTAAAAGCCACCATGTGAGCTGTCTGAGTCCCTCTATGCTGGGACCAGGGGTACCTGACTTGGAGCTGCCCTGTCACCCTAGATGGGTGAACTGTGTCTAACCAAGGTGGCCCCTCTCTTCACTGGCCTGCCCCTATTCTCCCCCTAGGCAGGGGCACCATCGCTTCTTATCAGGGGAAAATACAAAACTTGACTGCGAGCCTAATAACCGCCACCCTGAGTGTGGACTCGGCCGTAATTTGTCTGGCGCTTTGCCGGCTGGCTGTGGTGATAGAAGCGCTGATGCCTTCTGCTGAGATTAATGATGTCCTGGCGGTGGTGGG